CCTTTGTTTTATTTCCTCTTTATTCTACTGAATGTTTAAATTTAAAAATTTTAAATTAAAGCATTAAGTTTTTGTCTAAAGGAGTCATTTTTTGATTTTAGGGGCTAATTATTGTATTTATACATAGAATGGGGATCCATTTACATTAAAAAATAAGAAAAAAAAATCCCTTTATCTCAACTTGATATCAAGTTTGAATTTTGCTTTTAGTGTGTAGGAAGGCCCCTCAACTTAGCGATTTTGATTGATTATGGTCCCTCACCATTTTTTTACTAATTTTTGGATTTTTTGACTCTTTTTATTCCCTTCTAAAGGAAAAAAAAAAAACCTCAAGGAAAAAGAAAGAAATTAAGGGGCTGACAAAAAATGATTTAGAGACATTTAGGGTATTTGATGTAATTTCAAGATTAATGTGCTCATAATGCAAATTTAGGATAATTATTAAGTACATATTTGAAAACTTTATTAAGTTATGTGCACATATTTCAAAGCACAAAGTAAGAAAAACTTATAGAGTAACTAATTAAACTATCAACTATACTCGTATAATTAAGGTTCTAATTTTTGTTCTCTTTTATTACTTCTGTTCTCATAGAAGTTTCAATTAATTAGCCTGTTTCATAAATAAAAAGACATAAATAAAGCAAAAATAGGAAGAGATTGTATATTGAACATTTTCAAAAGAAAAAGTGCATATAAAGATCTATTTTATTTATAAATGAACAAACTTAGTATTTACAAATAAAAAGAATAACAAAATTCATATATTTATATGCATTTTTTCTCACATTTTCATACTTAATGTTAAGAATTGCATTATCTCTTATAACAAAATAGTGTGCATTGACTTAACAACTTCAAATTTGTGTTCTTTGTAAGATAATTAATTATCCCTTATTCAACTTATAAATCACAGTCAGACTTGATTATCATCCAATATCATATTCTCCAAACTCCAAATATTAATAGGCTACCAAATACTAAGATAAACGTTGTTTATTTTGGCGACATGCCAACATAAATTCGACCCCATTGAGTTGGCAAAATGAGAACTAACACTGCCAAAGGGGGCATTTTGCAAGTCCACACAGTACCTCATCTGTACCAGTTAGGAAGTACTCAACAAAGTACTCAACAACTATTCCACAAAACGGTGTCGTCTATTTCACCGACACCACAGACGCGTAACCTGTGCTCGCGGCCGCACCCCAGTCTAGAAAAAAATAAAAATAAAAATAGAATAAAAAAAAATATTGAAAGAGGTGTCGCAATCACTAATAAAACGAAGTAAAGCTGGAAAGAGAGAAAGGGGCAATAAAAAGGCTCGACACAGAGTCACACACGCAGATCTAAGATCTCAATTCTAAATGCTGATGCTCATTTCTCGATCTAAGGTAATCTCTATTTCTTCTTCAATTCTCGCCTCCTGATCTTCTTCCTCCTTTCGAATCTATTGATCTGCTTCCTCTTTTGATTCCATCACCTGATATGACGCCTGGATACAAACAGATCCAGTGAAAATAAATCTTTCTTTTTCTTTTTTTTTGTTGTTGTGATTTTAAGCTTCATTAGAGTTTCTTTTTGGCGATTTCTTTGTCCATTTGCTTGGAACTCATGCTTCGAGGAAGCGGATAATTGAGCATTTTGTTGTATTCTTTTCTGGCTAATGTGTGTAAATCTGTTGTTGATACAGTGTACATAGCGTAAGTTTTCTGTTCGCATCTCTTCTTATAACAATAGCCATGTCAAGGAGGCCTGTGAATTCCTCCCGCCGATTTGTGGACGGTGGAGGCTTTCCTTTCGCCGGAGCCCTGCATTCCAAATCGAGATCTTCTCCGATATTGTCCATTGGTCTTATAGTTGTGGTACGCCAGTTTTTTCTTATCCTTTTTTTGTTTGACATCTTAGGTAAAATATGAACTCCAATTATTCCGAGTTATTATTGCCATAATCTTATTATCTATTTATTTTTTGTAAACTTACAGGGAGCTTTCCTTATTATTGGTTATGTTTGTAGGGGCTCAGGTTAGTATATTGTTTTGCACAGTTTTTTTTTTTTTTTTTTTAATGCAAAATGAACTTTACTTAATTTGATTTGTTCATTGTGGTTATTTACTCTGGTGTACCTGCTATATTGTTTGAGATTTGAGTTTTATTATACCAATCCTTTTTCTGCATTGTTCTCTATTCGCAATACAGATAAATTTCGAGCTGAAGCAGTTAGCAGGGTTGAAGGTAAGTTTTATTTTCCTTTTCCCTCTCCATTGTATTCTACCTTATATTTTCTTTATTCATGAAGTTACTTTTGTTTATGATACCTGAGCAAGATATGTGAAAACTGGTCTCGTTGTCCTTGCGCCTCAAATAAACTAATTATTTTCTTCTGAAGATTAACTTATATTTGGAGTTATTTACTTATTTTAGCATATATTTATTGCTAATCACAATATCCAAACTAGACAACCTTCTTAAACAAATTGATTACAGATTTCACATGAGATCTGTTGATGGTATCTGTTTCTTTGGAAATGCATGTGAAGAAGATTTTGTTGCTTGCTATTAACTGAAACTGATAATCCTGATATTTTATTTTCTCCTAAAGTCCCAATAAACCACGCAAAGGAAACATCATCTAGGCTGTTGGACTTTGGTATTTTCTGACTGAAAGAAGAACTGGTAATAAATTAGAGAAGCCACTTTAATTCCAGAATTCAGAAGCATTATTACTGCCTAAACTTAAACAATTTGGTTTGTGCCTCTGGTTTTCAGGTTGTAATCTTGCATACCTGTTTGAACCATTTGAAGTTTTGTCTGACTTCAGTTCTTCAAATGAATTATTATTTCTACATCCTTTTTGAGTCAAAAGTGATTTTTTGGGTTAAAATGCATTTGTAGTTTGAACTACTGCAAAATAAAGGAATTGTACCATATTTATTATTACTTAAAAAAAGCTAGTGACCTTTCTTAAGTATTCTGGTTAATGTTAGTTGGCCTTCGTTATTTTGCAGGTGACTATTCATGCACATTAGAAGTCCAGAGGGCAATTCCTATTCTTAAGAAAGCATATGGTGATGGCATGCACAAAGTCTTGCATGTAGGTCCTGATACATGTTCAGTAGTTTCTAAACTGTTGAAAGAGGATGAAACTGAAGCATGGGGTGTGGAACCATATGATATAGAGGATGCAGATGCAAACTGCAAGAGTCTTGTGCACAAAGGCATTGTCCGTGTGGCTGATATCAAGTTCCCTCTTCCCTATAGACCAAAGTCATTTTCTCTTGTTATTGTGTCTGATGCTCTTGATTACCTATCTCCGAAATACCTGAACAAGACTCTTCCTGATTTGGCAAGGGTTGCTGCTGATGGTCTTGTTATTTTCACAGGTCATTTCTTATTCCTTTCATTTATATTCTTCCATGTACTTTTATATTACCTATATATTATAAACAAAGAATTACTCTGAAAATATGTTGTTTATGTGTGCTTTAACAAAAGTCACTGCTTCGCTAACAAGAACTTTCCTGAATCACTTACATAAGAATAAAAATTGTCTGCCAATGCATCTACAACCTCAGTGGGCTTTTGGTAAAGTTAATGTGCTCAAGTGTTCTGATCTCTCTCTCGCCTCAATGCACATAATCTTGTCTATTTGCTCTTCATTAACGTGGTCAATTTCACTAAAGCTTAATTTTTGGGTTGCCTGCTCTTTGTAAGCAATGCATATTTAACATTTCATTTGTGTTTCAGGTTACCCTGGTCCTCAGAGAGCTAAAGTTGCAGAATTATCCAAATTTGGGCGGCCGGTGAGTGGCTACATTCTTTAATGGGATCTAGAATTGAAAGAGGCCATAATATCTTATTTTGCTTGGATTTTATTGAACTTTTTAGTGAAAATATTTGTTTTTATCAGGTTTTGCTCTTTGACCATTTGCCTTATTCATATTCCATCAAGTTGTTTTCTTCTATGGCTTTCACATGTAGAGGAAATGACTATTTTACAAAAAATATACATGAGATATTGACGTGATTGGTTGGAACATGGAGTATATCTAAGGAATGGGGTGATAGTTTGGTGTTGAAAAAAAGTCAAAACATTGTGTTTGACTTATGACTCTTTTGGCTTAGTTAGCATGCATGGTTTTTCTTTTCACTGAAATTTAGAACAAGTGATAAAATCAAAGAACTTTTAAATAAAATATCAAGCATGAAGGGATGCACACACACACACACACAGAGACACACACACACATCCATGCTAGGTTCATTCTAAAGTCCGTTTGCTCTATTGACCTTATAATTGACATATATATATGCTTTATCTGTGAAGGCCAAGAAGAGGAGCTCATCTTGGTGGATTCGCTTTTTCGTCCAAACAAGCTTAGAAGAAAATGAAGCTGCCATTAAGAAGTTTGAGCAGGCTGCATCCAAGAGGTCATATCAGCCAGCGTGCCAAGTTTTTCATCTAAATCCTTACCATTGATATAGAAATTCATAATATTGAAATTTTATGACTTTCATAAGTTCTCCAATCAAGCCAAGAAAATATCAACCCTTATAAAAATATAGCCTTCCCCGAGTAACCAAATTTGGTGGAGAGATGGAGTTGATGTCAGCTTATGTTGTGCCCTTACATTATAAACTAGGTATTTTTTCTTCTTTCTTTTTTCTTTTTTCTTTTTTCTTTTTTTTTTGATGGAAAGGTATTTATTAATTTAATTGATGGGAAAGTTACACTTATTGTTTTGACATGGATGCATTTTTTTGAATTTGATTTATCCTTCCTACGCTTTCATCTATCTGCAATTTTGTCTTCAGTTTGTATGACGCTCGTTGTAAATAGGCCAATGATCCTTGCAACCTGAGCAATTGGCCAGGCCATACACAGCACAGCATTGCTAAAAATTGACCCACTGCACTAATGGCATTAGCAGGGTCCATTGGTAATGGAAAAGGTCTCCACTATAAATCATAATTTTGGCTACATTCAGTTACATAAGATACTGAAAATTCCTGCAAAGAATTGTTTAGAATTTGAATAGCATACAAATGGAAGAAGGCTCAATTGAGAGCAATCATCAACAAGGAATGTGAAGGTAAATAAGGAACTTGAACAGCATGAGATAGCCAATGCATTCTCTATCTAGCCTGCAGGTGTAACTTTGAAGAGCAACCTTCCTTGAATAAGTCTTTGCTGCGGAGGAACTAAAGTATGAGAGCTAACTATCATCACCAGTAATCCCCGCAGGAGCAATGACCTTCCTTGAAGCAATGAAACCTACGGGCGTCCCTGACAGTGATCTCCCTTCTGGTAATAGCAGAGATAAACTTGATTGCATTATGACAATCTCCGCACATCCTAAGGTTCTTCACCACAAATATAGGCTCCCCATCTTTGGTTGAAAGCAGCCCAAATGCAACAGCTAGCTTCTCACTGTGATGTCCTAACCTCATCTCCTTCTCTTCTGGTTCAATCTCATCATCTTTAACTAAAGTCCATCTGAAATCTGGAACATAGCCAACTTGCTTCATCTTCCTTGACATCTCCTCCAAATACTTGTAAATTTCTTTGATCATTGGATGTGAACTGTCTTCAGCCACAAATACGTGTACCATCTTGTTCACTTCAATCCAACTACAACCAGGTTTCTTCCTTGCACCCCTGTCTCGCATAAGCTTTCTAACTGAAGCTACTTCTTCCCATTTCCCAGCACTGGCATACATATTTGCAAGCATGACGTATGGTACAGCATTTGAAGGCTCCAGCTGAAGAAACTGGTTGGCTGCCTTCAATGCTAGGTGCATGTTCCCATACGTTCTACAAGCACCAAGTAATGCAGCCCAACAGATGGAACCAGGGTCAAAAGGCATAGCCTCAATTAACCTCTCAGCTTCACTCAGCTTGCCTGCTCGACCCAAAAGATCAATCATACAGGAATAATGCTCTGCTTCTGGTTCAATTCCAAACTTCTCTTTCATCATGTTGAAATACTTCCAGCCTTCAACAACTCTTCCAGTGTGAGCACAGGATGAGAGAACAGAGATGAAGGTTATGCTTGTAGGTGTAATTCCTCGTTCTAGCATCTGTGCAAAGAGAAGCAATGACTCCGTTCCAATACCATGTTGTGCATAGCCTGCAATCATTGAATTCCATGAAACAGCGTTATGCTCTGGCATCCTATCAAATAACCTCCTGCCATCCAAAAGATTACCACATTTAGAGTACATTGCAACTAGAGCATTATTCACTGAAATCCTGTTAGGGAATTCGCATTTCAGTGCAGATGCATGAAGCTGTTTTCCCTGAGAAGGGGATGACAAATTGGAGCATGCACTAATCACACACACGAAGCTACAATCATCTGGGCGGTACCCAACACGTTGCATATCCCGGAAACTCTCAAGGGCCTCCACAGAGAATTCTTTATTTTGGGAATACCCTGAAATGATTGTGTTCCAGAGAACCAAATCCGGTTGAGGAATCTCTTCAAATACTTTCCTACTGTCCAACATTCCACCCCCACACTTTGAATACAAATCAATCAAACCACTCCCTACATGGGAATTCTGGTGAAAACCAGTTTTAATCAACTTAGCATGAAACTGAAGCCCTCCTAACAAGTCCTCTAAACATGTAAATGCAGTCAAGACACTTGCCAAAGTAAACATATCAACATCTAGACCCCTACGAACCATTTCCTGAAACAATGCCAGTGCTTTTGCCCCTTCTCTGTGCTGCCCATACACCACAATCATCGAATTCCAAGACACTTCATCCCGACCCTCCCCCATCCCATAAAATATCCTCTTTGCTTCCTCCAAAAAGCCATTCTTACTATAATTCGCAATAAGTGCATTATTCACAGATACATAGGAATCAAACCCAACCAAAATCGCAAAAGAATGCAACTGCCTGATCAAACAAACATCATTGGAACAAGCAGTGATGACACCAGATAATGTAAAGCCATCCATGTCAAGAACCATCTCTTTCATACTCGTAAACAAGTGAAAGGCAGGTTCAGGCTCCCCACAATCCGCGTAAGCTGAAATCAGGGTGTTATAAGAGACAATGTCAGGTTCGGGAATTTGTTCGAACAGTTGGCGGGCAATGTGAGTGAGCGATTCTTTGGCGTAAGCACCAATAATGGCATTGAAAGAGAAGACGTTCGGTTCTGGGGTCTGTTCGAAAGAGTTGCGGGCAGCCATGAGGCGGCGGCATTTGGAGTAGAGGAGGATGAAGTGGTTGGAGAGGTAGGTTGAAGATGGAACGAGAGACTTGATGTAAAGTGCGTGGAGGGATTTTCCTGTTAAGAGATCCCTCTCTGCTATGCATGTCTTCAAAAGATTGCGGAAGGCTTGTAGCGTGCATGAAACTTGATTCATCTAAAGGGGCATTGCTATCTTCTACCCGGACAATATGCTACATCAAGGGACTAATATATAACCACATCCCATGAATTGTGCTGTGTTATTATTTCAACAAGGCAACAAGCAAAAGCCCCAGCAGTTAGGAATGGCCTCGATTGATGCTGGCATGCGCAATTGGCCATGCTTGATGTGTTAAAATGTTGAACTATAGAATTTTTGGCCCATTTCTTGGTGGTATGCAATTGTGCATGCTTATGGTGTTAACATGTTGGACTATAGAACTTTTGGGTCCATTTCTTAGTGGTTTGAGCCCAATTCTTTACAAATTGAAATATAATGTGGAGATGCTGGCCCAACTAAACACTTCTTTTTTTTTTTTCCTTTTTGTTCATTTGAGTTACAGGCAATTATAGGATCCAGCAATTACTCTTTATTCTTCACCTTCTTCTGTTTTTTCTCCTTCTCCCTTTTTTTTTGTTTTGTTTTGTTTTGTAAATCAGTTACTTATTGTATAAGTGATAATTATTTATTTTTAAAAATAATGATAAGAAAGTCAAATAAGAGGAATGAATTCACGAGACGAATCTGAAGTGGCTTGCCACCTTAGTAATATATTAATAAAATAAGGTCCACATACTTCTCACTTCTTTTTTGCATTCCCTCCATGTTTTTGTGATCTTTTTCTTGTTTTGGGTTCATCCAAATCCAAATTCTCTCTTCCAAATCTTCATCCTTCGTCACTATTTCTCTCATCTCCCTTGCAAAGATTAATTGTAAATTTAGAGTTGTTACTAGTTAGGGTTTAGTTTTATCAAATAGTTAGAGTTTAGTTTTTCTTGTTCTTCTTTTTTTTTTTTTTTTTTTAATTTAAAACCATGGCTATGGGATTTCAATTGCCAGGATAGAGTTAAGGTTGGTCTTTGAGTTCAACGAAGTCCATCGGAGGATAAGCTTGGCAAAAGAGGGGGAGATGAGAGAGAAAGATAGGAGATTTTGAAAGGAAAAAAAAATGGAGATAAAAGATAAATTGGTAAAAATAACTTGATTTAAATTTTTTAAAATTAATAAATTAATATCGTGATTTGTCATGTCATTGGTCTCATAAGTTTATTCCCTTTATTCATCTTTTGTATCATTGTCCTATTTTTAAATTTCTTCTCACTTGTGTGAAAGGTTGAGTAAACTCTAATTTAGAGTTTTAAGATGTTACCACTCGAAACATCAATCTTTGATGTAAATTTCAATTTTCAAGTCCCCCTCACTGCTGTTACCATCTATGTTCACACATCGAGTTGGTAATGAAAGTAACCTCTCTTGTGTCATTTTAGTTTCAAAGGCTCTTTGTTCCTACGGTCCCCTTAATAGGGACAACTCAAATACATAGTCTTCATACCATAACTCACTATCACAATAAATTACGGATGCCCTACATCCCATACATTAACCTCGTGAAAATTCGCTATCAAAGCAAACCAAAATTGACAAATTGACCAATTACTAATTCTAGAGGTTTTGATGCAACATTCCGGGGCCCCTATTTATGCAAATATAGACTAGTGAAGTTAGACCGCTGGGACAAACAAACAAACCAATCACTTTCAAGATAGGCTGGAGTGTGAAGTACTAGAGCAGATGCGAAGTGGAACAAAATAATATGGAAGGGGCAGCGGAAGAGCCACCTCTGATGAGTGAGGGAGGCACACTACATGTTTACTGTTACCATCTTCAGACCCCACTTCCATATAACAAGACATATAACAAGACAAAAACTTAAGGTGTAAACGCGGTATGTAGCATACGTATACATGATTAATTAAGACGGGTTTGAATGTGAATGGTATTGGCTATGCGTTGTACAAATTGTACAATAATGCTGTTGTAAACAGGACATAATCAGTATTTAGTATGTAGTTCATTACTGTATATAGAAGAAATTTTGAGATTGGCTAATTGGCAAGGGAGATTCTTAATATGGCCAGGTTTTGATTCTTGGGGAATGTCATGAGGGTTAATTTTCTAGCTTTATTTTTATTTTTATTTTTTTAAAGTTTTGTCTAGATACATTATTTTGACATGATCATTAGAGAGATATTTAATTTGATGCACAAAAAGCTAGCCTAAATTAACCGCAAAATCAAGAGCCAGGTAATGTGTCAAAAGAGTTACATATAATGATTGAGGCGGTTTAATTGTAATCTCTCTATGAAATTAGTGCAGGAGATCTAAGATTCAAATTATAAGCATGTAAGTGGAGTGAGAAAAGAAATTAAAAAGTGTTGTTTTTTATTAAGTAATTCAAAATAAAAAATAATTGCCCCCACACACATATGTTATTGCTATGAGTTCTCTGAAATGATTTTGTTTTTTTGGTACATTTATAACTGGACACTAGCTAGCCATTCATTTTAAAAAAAATTTCTTGTATTTCTCTATATTCAAACTTAAAATTTTTAAATTATTATCTTTGTTTTGAGGGGAATAAAGGGAGAGAGAAACTTGAAGTCAGAGTTTTCTCCTTCCCTTTATTTGGGTAATTGGGGTAAAGAAGAATGAGGGAGATGGAGGGTTGCTTGGTACTGCAGTGACTCTGGATTCTTTAACACCCTTATTTCCAGTCCTTTAATTAGGGGAAATTATATTGAGACTGTTTTGAATTATTTTTAAAACTTTGTTTTAAAAAATATAAGTAAATTTTTTACTTCAATTTTTATTTAATTAATAAAATTATAAAATTTACTTTTAATTTAAATTAAAATTATTTTTACCATTTGAACTGTACTGACCGCAAACCACAAAATGTAGACCATCAGACAAGTGAAACCCCATTGGGAGACTGCAAAACAGCATGCAATTTTTAAACGATTTAATTAAATAAAAATATAATCCTCTCATTCTCTTATTTTTATCTATCTAAATGATATATTACACTAATAATTTTTCTCCTTCAAAAAACCTTACTTTCTTTCCTTCTCCTTGATGTTGCTTTCAAAGGCATTCTGAAATCTGAATATATCTCTGTCAAAAATATCAATTTCAATTAGGTGATGGCAATAAATATTAGAGGTCGCCAATTTCCACCCTATATGTATATCATTTTATTCATTTTTGTTATATTTTTGTTTTGGGTGGAGGATACAGTTATATTTATAAGGATGTTTATAGTAGCTAGGATAACCATTAATTGGTCGGTCCTACAAGTCCATGCCAATTTCTATGCCAATTTCTCTATTTACCTCTTTTTCTTTTTAATTATATTTTTGTTATCTTTCCACAAAATATCTTTCTGGTTTTTTTTTTATTTTTTTTTTATGAGTTTATGATTCCTTTGGTTTTCCTAGTAATTTCAAAATGACACAACATTTTTGGTTAAGACACCAATTTGGATGCAATTTACAATTAAATAAGGATACCAAGTCTGACTTTTTCTCAAATAATGACACCACTTACGCCGGCTTCTTAAATAAGAAAACATTAGACAAAAATGTTGTTTTCGTTAGTGATGAGTGAGGGTCATGGCGTCCTGCTAAAGTGGCATGTTTATACAGGGCGGAGCCAGAATTTTTTTTTCAGGGGAATGAGATAATTTTTTATATACTAATTTACAAAATTTTTAAATTTTAAGGGATGTGAAATAATTTTTCATATATTAATTTACAAGGATTTTCAAATTTCAGAAGGGCTAGCGCTCCCCTCGCACCCCCTCCCTCCACCACTGTGTATATAGATTGGTTAAATGTCAAAATTTAGTTCTTGAAATTTTAATTTTGAATAATTTTAACCCTTAAATTATTTTTTTACCGTTTTATATCTTAATTATGAAAAAAATATTTTTTTAATCATTTTGCTATTAGTTTTGTTTGTTAATTAAGTTTGTCCAGCTAGATTTTTTTCAGCTCTAACTATAAAAAATGTATTTTTTTTATCATTAGTTAAAACCCTATTTTGGTCCCTCTATTTTAATAAAAAGTCTCTTTTTAGCTCCTACACTTAAAAAAGTCCATTTTTAATCCCTTTATTATTTTTTGTGCATGTAGCACATTAGATGATGAAAATTGTAAAGTAGAGAGACTAAAAGGAAACTGAAAAAAGCCCATTTTTGGTCATTCTACTTAAAAAAAAAAGCCCCTTTTGATTCCTCATTTTGATTCTTTTACTTTTAAAAAAGTTTTTTTTTAGTCCTTCTACCTTAAAATTTTCATTATTTAACTTGATATTTGTATAAAAAGATAATGGCGGGACTAAAAAGGGGTAGATAATAAATTTTAGGGACTAAAAAAGAATTTTTGTTAGAGTAGAGGAACAAAAATGAGATTTTAACCTTTATCATTTCATCTATTTTGTCTGTTAATTTTGTCTAGTTGGCATTTATAAAATTTCCTTTAATGATTTGAATACTCATGAAACAAAACTTCGGGAACTGAAAAAATGGCAACCGTACAAAGTTAATAGACAAAATCAATGGTATGACAACAAAAATACATTGTTCTTAGTTGAGAAACAAAAAAAGCGCAAAAAAATAGTTGGAAACTAAAATTTGCGTGTTCCCCGCTCATCAGCAACGGAACTAACATTTTTTGTCTAATGTGTTCTTATTTGAAAATTCAGTAAATAAGGTGGTGTAGTAATTTGAGAAAAGTGACAGTTGGTATCCTTAATTGCAAAATGCGTGCAAATTAGTGTCGTTACCATAAACTTCTACCTTACAAAATTATAAGTGCGAGTCTACTTCATAAACAAAATACTGAGCATTTGAATAGGACTTAGGCATGATCTCCCAAATGTCAGTAGTCATATCACATTTTTCTCGTTGAAAATTCTTTAACAATCTCTTTGGATGGATAAGAACTCCATGACAACGAAATTGCATTTATCTCAAACCAGTAGAGGCCCCCTCATGTTCAATGAAAAACTGTTGGAGCTATGGCATGAAAGCTGCAAAAATGTAATGAAATGTGAGTTGCTAAATGATATTGCAACTTGGCAGTACAGTAGCAGCAAAGTGACAACAGTCTGCACATGGACTGCAAGAAACGGTAGCAAACTTCTACATTTAGGTAGCCGAAAGTTATTGTATTAAGTAGAAAAGTATGTCATATTCATGTTCTAAGTTCTCTCTTCCTTCCTCTCCTAGTCCAGCCTCTCCTCTCTCACTTAGAAGAAGCCTTAACAAAAACTATAATTCAACACAAAATTGTCCCATAAAATTGCATTTTCCACACGTTGGATTTTTTAACTCATTTCTTAAAGATATTTTAATAATTGAAATTTAAATTTTTATATTAAAAATTTTAAGTTTAAA